ACAAATAAATAAATAAATAAATAAATAAATAAAGGTTGGGGAGGATGAAAAAATACCGGGAAATCTGACCGTCCATAGATACTATTTTTGAGGGATTCAAGTTTGAGTTTCTCTCCCACAGTCAGGGTGACCGAGAAAGATAAGGGGAATCGTGAGGGGTGAGAGCAAGCTAAAACGACCCAAAGCGTAGCCTGGGAGTGTGGAACCCCACACTCTGTTCCTTTCTACTACACCCACAATGAGAATCTTGGGCAACAATGTCATTTCTTTACGTTTCCTTCATGAACCTCTTTTCCCTTTCCTACCTCTCAGAATGATTATGAGGACTACTGACCTGATGTGAGAATGTATGTGGGCTTTGGGGCCAGTATGTACAATTGAGGGTGTAGACTGACTCACGCCTGGCTCTGGGAGCTACGCCCACAGACAGAGAGAAGAATGCTGGCCTGACACCAGCTGGAAACGTCTCAAAGGAGGTGGTTCCAGAACAGGTTGTAAGTGATCCAACAGGAAAAATAAGGCAGTGATGAATAATTGCAACAAAGGAAGGCAGACGTCTGATCCTCGATCCTATGAGAATAAATTGCTTTTGAGATCCTGCGGACAGGGAGACTTTATCCAAGAAAATGATAAGGAGGCAAACAATGCAACTAACTTTGAATATAGGAATTAAGGTCAAATGCCACAGGGAAAAAAGGAGGGTGTGGACCCTTAAACATGCTTCCCAATGAGATGTACCAGGAAGAAAGTTGTGACTTCTTTGGAAAAGACCCATAGCATGAGACTAAATTAGGAAACTAGGGAAATAGCAGAAATATGAGCAGTCCTGTGTCACCAACAAAGTTAGATACTGAGAAAATCTGAAAACTTAGCTTTCAAGAAGTTGTTGATATGATAGCAGTGATTCATTTTTCATACAAGCATAACAAGTCTCTCCCAGCGCCAAGGTGGAGGTTTCATAAATCTGTAGTAATGGAACTCCAACTTGGTCCCTCCCTCTCCTCTGCTGAAGACTGCCGTGTGCTTCATTGCTCAATCGAGGTTGGTGGCAGGTGCTATCTGTCCAGTCTGCCCTGTTTACCAGAAGGTTGAGACTGTGGTTGACTGTGGCTTGTCCTTATGTCCTGGTGGAGTGGAGCACGGAAGTCCAGGCTCACCTTCTCAATTCCTGTGTTGCTAGCCACCGCTGTCCCTTTATGTAAAGCCTCTTCTTGCTTTCAAGACCACAAATGTAAGCCCAGCCGCACTTTACTCACCTGCTGCAAGAAGCAACTGAGGTAAGTCATCTTTCTAGTTGCTCCTTCACACGCTGGTTTCTCCAGATGTAGAGCCACTCTGCTCGACCAGTCCTGGATGGGGTGTTATGGTGCTGGGAGAAAGTTCATTTTTCATAATTTATCAGTGTGCATCAGTGATACTCTGATAAAGTATCATCCATTTTTAAATATATTTTTTTTCACGTTTTCTCAAAGCAAATAAATCAAAGGAGATATAAAAGCATCTAAGGAAAGGCAACCCTCCTCTCTCCTGCCCTTCCCCCTCAGCCCCAGTTCCCCTCTTAAGGAAACCACTGGCAATGCTCTTAACAATTTCTGTTCCTGGGTTTAACTTAGGAAATATCACTCCATCTCTAGACAATACACTCAGACCCTTTTTCTTGATCTATCTGTTTTCAAAATCATCCATTTATTTACGGCTACTATGGTTAAAGATTTAGATAACTTAAATTGTGACTCCCTAATAGAGGCATATCGCTGTTTTGAGTTCCTCTGTCAATCATGTCTTGTTAAATCATTTACCATCTTCTTTATCTCTTGTTCTACTCAGACGTTATCGTTTTCCTTCCCACCTTCTAAATGAGGATACTGGAATCCAATCCTCTTCATCTCTCTTCTCCTCTTACAGTTCTCAATTTCTGTTGTCTCTTGTTTTCACCATATCTGGGTTGATAACATTTTATTCCCTTCTGTAACTGCTGACAGGCCTTTCATGATTTGACAATAGAGCAATTCTAAAAGTCAAAAAGCCATGAACAGTGTTTGTGTTATTATTGGTTATAAATATAGTCTATTGGCCCAGCTGTTTGTATTAGGATTGCATACTGCACAGATTTTTGTGTTCACCTCATTTCTTCTTAATACTCTTCTCTGTTTCTCAGCAAAAAGATTAGCTCTACTGCCAACTGCCAGCAGGCCTGGGCTTTGTTGGCATCTGTATGTTGTTTTGAACTTACTGTATGTGACCAGAACTCCATGGTAAATGGAGTTTTGGTGTACCAACTTTGTGTGTTACTGATGGCTATTGTAGATATCGAAGGATTAGTATCTTATTTGGCAAACCCAGGAAATAAAGATGCAAAGTAATGAACTGTGTTTATAAGTTTCACCAGTTAGACCTACTCATGGTACAACAGATAGAGGCAAAGAAGGGATGAGAATGAATCAGCTCTAAAATAAGATAAAATAAAACATGGAACATTATTCCTTCCAAAGGAAAGGAAAAAATTATATCAGAACAGAAAATTCAATGGCAAAATAGTAATTTGTGTGGAATTCTTATTTCTACTCTTCATTAGGTCTGCTATAGAGGGAGTCCTTTGTATAAGGGGAATGATAATTAAAATTTCATTGATTGTTATAATTGGCCCCAGATTGGAGAGAGGGTGCTACATTTACTCAGAATTATATACTATTAGGTGCTATGACGAAGGCAAAACATCTTTGAAGCAACCTCCAAAACCCAGGCTGGATCATGTGCTCCGAGGGAAGGGGCTAAGGAGTCTCCGGGCTGTCAGTGCAGATTTTTCTCCCCTACCTCTGAACTTGCCGGTTAGGAACTTTTACAGATGAGAATGAAGCACACCCTATCACTAGAAGCTTGACAATCCCAACTTCTTTCAGTAGATGTCACCAGCAGTAAATAGTACAGGATCACTTTGAGCTAAACAGCATTTGCTGGCCTAAACAGTTCAAAGATCCATTGAACTGATTTCAAGAATTCATGCTCCACTTACTATCGCTTGGGGAAATAAGTAACCATTTAATGATACTCAACCATTTTAGATGTCATACATTGCGTAGATTTGACCTTTGAGAGTAGCCGGCAAGGAAAGAGGAGGAAGTAAACAAGATCGTGGAACAACCTGAAAGAAATGAGACAAGGACTGAGAGTGTCATGCTCCAACCCAGCAGTTAGAAGAAAAAGAAGAAAGGCTTTGAATCCTTAAAAACCTTGATTCTTAACCACAGGATCTTGGACAAGCCATTGTAAGTCTGAGTTTCTGCTTTCTCCGCCACCAAATGGAGACAATACTTACTTTGCAAACTTTGCAAAGGATTAGAAACAAGGTCTACCGCATCAAACTGTGACCACTCCATCAGTACAGCCAGTGCCTGTTAACCATGTGGATACCTGAGCTTCCAACCCGACCTATTAAATCAGAAGCTCTAGGAATATCCAGGCAATTATATTTTTGTCAAGTTCCCCAAGTGAATATGATGCTAAAAGCTACCCATTGCAGTCTTGGCTAAATGGCCTGCATGACAGGAACAAGGGATGAAGTAGGCACATAAATTTATAAGCTAGGACAGTCACTCAAATACTGGAATAAAGATAGACTTGGAGGAGTGTGTATGTTTGAGCATTTGAGAGGCAGGATTCAAGGTCCAGGAGCCTCCCCAGCAGCTCTCAGAGCCGAGGCTGACGATCAGCTCCAATGGCTGGGCACAGAGCCAAGAAGGGGGCTCCACACCAAGGCTTCCTCTGACAATTTGTGGAAACCTCAGCCCTCTTCCACAACCCCAGACCCTGGCCCATCCTTCTAACAATAAAGGGCTATGACGAATTCTGAACAGATGCCCTCCCTGTCACTTCCCCCTGGCAGAAGCACCTACTTTGGACATAATGAAAGTGGGGCACAGTCTGGAGAAACACAGCCTGAGGGAGCCCCCTGAACACTCCGGGATTTAGGGATAAGCCCTTTACCCCTCCCCAGACCTCTACTCGTTATTTTCATCTACCGGGTTCCGGACCACGGGACACTCACACACTTCCTACTAATGAAGGCAGGTAAATAGTTGCCAGTTATAAAATGGAAGAAGAAAAAGGAGAACGGAAGAAAAGGAATGAAAACTATGTTGAACAACAACCAAATACCAGATACCACGCTAGGTTCTGTATACATACGTGTCTCATTTCATCTTCGCAGAATTCCTATGAGGCTTATATTACGGTCTCTATTTTATAAAATGAGACAATTGGGACTCAGTACATTTTCATTTATTTAAAAAATATTTATTAAGTCCCTACTCTGCCACACCCTTTTCTAGGCACTGGGGAGATACTTACAAGCAACCATAACAGACTTGATCCTTGGTGGGCCATGGAGCACACAGCCTAATGGGGAACTTGGTTGTGAATCTAAGAGGCACAATAATAAGTGTGCAATCACCAGCTAAGAAACACTCTCTGTGAGCAGACTGTCTAGGAGAGGACAAAAGAGCCTGACCTGGACTGGAAGATAATCTTAGGGAAAATGACACCTGAGCTAAGAGCTGAAGAATGAAAAGTATACACCTGGGGTAAAAGGTGAGGGAAAATACACTGTCGGATGGAATAGCAAAAGCTCTGTGGCAGAGGGAAGCATGGTGTTCTTGAGGAACTGAAAGATGGCCACTGTGGCAAAAAGCTGGCATGAGGGAAAATGTGCTTCAAGATGGCACTGCAGCAGGGGTGGGGGAGCAGTGTTGGGCCCACAGGCCAGCTACCACCACCAAAAAAAAAAAAGGGAGAGAAAGAGAAAAAAGATGGCACTGTGGCAAGGAGGAAGGGGCAGAATGTATGAGATCTTGTAGGCCATGGTAGGGAAGAAAGCTGTTGCATGATTTTTAAGTAAAAAATTATAATTATTTTTGCCTTTGGAAAAGATCACTCTGGCCACAGGTGGAGAATGAATTAGAAGGAGAGCCAGAACTTACGGAGAGAAGAGTTATTAGGTATTAATCCAGACCAAAGATAATTGTGCTGATGATAACAAGATATTAGAAGTAGACATGGAAAGAACATATCTGAGAACTATATAAAGTAAAATTGATAGAACATGGGGAAGAATCAAATATGCAGTTATAGGAGGAGGAATTTCTAGACTTGGTGATACCAGTATTCTGATAGAGAACACTGGAAGAGGACTGGATTTGTTGGAGAAGATCGTGAGCTAGGTTTGAATATGCTGATGTCATATATCAACTGACATATAGGGTCTGGGATCTAGAAGAGATGTCTCTGCTGAACATACAAATGCGTCAGTACCATATAGACGAAATGAAGCCAGGAACAGTGATGAAACTGCCTAAAAGGAAAGTATAAGGAGAAGAGAGCCAAGGATGGACCTTTGAAGACCTCCAATTATGGCTTCCTTAGAGAAGAATGAGTATGCACAGTGCATGCACAGGAGAGGCCAGAGGCAACAGATGAAAGCTAAAAGGATTTTGGCTACCACAGCTGTCAAGGGAAGAAGGCATTTGAAGCAGTGGTCAGTAGTGTCAAATGACGCTGAGAAGTCAAGGAATGGGCTGCTGAAATATTTCACTGGATTTACAAACATGAAGGTCATTTTTCACTTTAGCAAGAGATGTTTCCATTTAGGGGACAGGATACTTTCAGGTGAGTTAAAAGATGAGAGGGAGGAGAGGAGACAGAAACAGTCAACAGAGAAAACTTGTTCAAGAAGTTTTTCTGTAATGGAGAGGAGAGATCTCAGGCTGTCATTGGAGAAGATTTGGGGGACAAGAGAGGGCTTTCTAAAATGAAGATGCTGAATAAATTTTTCAATGAGAAATATCAATTTAAGTAAAAGAAGTGAAATGTTTAAAAAAAAAAAAAAGAACAGTAGTGTAAATGTTCTCAGAAGGGAGAAGGAGCAGGAACACCATGTCCCAATGAAGGGACTGGCCCCAGAGAGAAGAGACAGCTCTCCAGTATCACAGAGCTGAGAGGCAAGGGAGGCAGAGGTAGAGGATTTTGCACATTGCTGGGAGCATGAGGGAGATTGCATTTGATGGCTTCCTTTTTCTCTGTGCCGTAGGTTATAGTCTTGAGCATGAGGGGGTATTGGGGGAGTTAGAAAATTGAGAAATACAGAGAAAGTATCAAACTGCCAAGGTAGAGAGTGGAAGAACCAGTCAACCTGTAGAGAAACCTCACAGGAGTACCTTGCACTGTTCAATCCCACTTGAGGTTAGAGATTGTGAACTTAAAACGAAATTGTTCTGTTTTGTTG